AGAATTAGCTACAAGATTTAAGGTTCAATTTCTTACCTAAAGTCTTGAATTCTTGAGCTATATGATGAATTAAGCTTCTCTTATTCTTCTACTCAATTTCTTCTTCAATTCACTCTTAATCTCTCAATTTTTAGCTCAAAGTTGAACTCTCTCAATCTTTCTCTTGTTTTCTCTAGCCAAATGTTGTATAAAATGAACTCAAGCCTCTCTTCTTCACTTATATATTACATAGAATTAGAATTACTTTAATTAACTCACTAATCACCTATTAGCTTGATTAACCATCCATTACTCTTAAGTAAGTAATATTAACACTTGACTTATTTCATTTAATCAATTCCAATTAAATCCTAATTTAATCAATCTTAATTAATACTAATCTCACTTAAAGTTTTTAATTGAGATTAGTATTAATTTTAATCCATCATGGCCTTAAGATGTAGACTGCTCTTACAATCTTAATTGGTATTAATCTTAATCTTAATCTTAAGGCCATGATGGATTAAAATTAATCAATTAAAATTAATTAATATCAATCTTATGGCCATGATGGATTAAAATTAATACTAATCTCTCTCTTATTAGTATTAATTTTAATTTTAATCTTAATTTTAATCCATCAATCTTAATTGGTTTAAGGCCATGATGGATTAAATAAGAACCCAATTAAAATTAATACTAATCTCACTTAAAGTTTTTAATTGGGTTATTCCAAGTTCTTAATTAATACTAATCTTAATTAATACTAATCTCAATTAAGATTAAAATTCCTACAATTAAATGAATGTAAAGTAATATGCAAGATGTGGTTATCACAGTTTCAAAGGAGGAAGAGGGACTAAAGACCATGTTACTTGCTTTTTAAGAGCACTAAATTCATCCATCATGGCCTTAAACCAAATAAGAGATGTAAGAACAGTCTTATAGGAAAAGGGCTCAAGATTATCATCTGCAGAAACAGAGGAACTAGAGGTGGAGGTGAAATACACAAGCTTTGTTTTGGACCTGGTTTGTATAGGATGAGTGGTGGTGGGCGAAAGAGGTGGTATAGACAAGAATATAAAAATAGAATCAATAGGAATATGTTGAGAAGAGGACTAAATGGGCATTGGCTGAACCAGAGAGGAATTGACATTGGCATTGAGGATAAATGACTCAAGAGGTTGAGCCTAAACTAAAATGGTCTAATCTAGCAAAGATTGGTTTGAATAAGTAGCAGGATGGATAGTTGTTTGAGGTGGCTCAGACTGAGGTGTTTGAGTGGTCTAAGACCTGTTCTAAGATTGATAATGATTGGTTTAAATAGAGTTGAATTGCATAGGAGTAGGTTGAGAAGGTCTAAGCTAAGGGGGTCTAAGCTGTGCTTGCCTAGGCTGAGCTGACCTAGCCTGTGACTTAGACTGAAAAGAATGAGAAGGGGACCAAAAGAAGGCATGAAACTATGATATAGAATAACCAAAAGAAATCATAGAAGAAGAAAAGGGAAACACATTTTCATAAAATCTTACATGCCTAGAGAGATAGACTTTGCCAGTTAATGGATCCAAACACCTATAGCCCTTAGCACTAGGATGATACCCTAAAAAGACACAAGAAATAGACTTAGGTGAAAGTTTACCAGGGGAAAAAGGTTTAAGATAAGGAAAACAAAGAGAACCAAATACTTTGAGAAGAGTGTAATTAGGAACTTGTTGAAATAGAAGCTCAAGAGGAGAACAATTGGAGATAGACACACTAGGCATTCTATTAATCAAATATGTAACAATAGCAATGGCATCAAACTAGTAGGTAAGAGGCATGGAAGAATGATGAAGAAGAGATATTGTAGTTTCAGTTATATGCAAATGTTTTCTCTCAGTAACCCCATTTTGGGATGAGATGTAACGGTAAGAGAATTGGTGATGAATACCATGAGTGGTCATAAAATCTTGCATGGAATGATTAACATATTCACCACCTCCATCTATTCTTAAGATTTTCAGAGGAAAATTAAATTGTTTTTCCACAAAAGCCTTGAATGTCATAAACTTGGAATAAACGTCACTCTTATGGAAGAGAGGATAAACCCATGTAAACTTGGTAAAATCATCAACAAACAAGACATAGTACTTATAACCCGAAGAAGAACATGTAAATGGACCCCAAACATCACTGTGGATCAATGCCAATGGTTGATTTACATGAGAGGTAGAAAACTGAAAGGGTAACCAATGGCACTTAGCCATAACACAATCAATACAAGAAAATTCTTTATTTGAACTAGAAGACATAGGTAAATCTTTTTAAGAATTTGAAACTTGAGAGAAGAGGGATGACCTAATCTCTTATGCCAAACATTAGCAGAGACAGATAAAGACGTAGAGCTATGACAAGCATGTGGTGAATTATGAGAAGCATGCACAGGAAATTAGTAAAGACCATTAGCATGGGGACCTCTATGTAGAATGGCCTTGGAATAGTTTCCTAACTAGAAAGAGAACAATCGTCAAAGATAATAGAACAATAATTATCCTTAGCTAACTATTCTACAAACACCAGATTTTAAGAGATAAATGGCACATGTAAAATTTTGTTCAGCTTGAAAGAATGGTGAGGTGTAGAAAGGATACCTGAACCAGTGTGATGAATAGGAAGAGATGCGCCACTATCAATGGTCACCTGGTCACCACCATGATATGGCTGATAGGCTTTGAAGTGATGAAGATCATTGGTGATGTGATCAGAAGCTAAAGAGTCCAAAAACCAAGGAGAATGATTAGAAAAATGTGACTCATCAGATGTAGAGGCAACAAAAGCCTTAGATTGAGGTTGATATGAAAAGCCTGATTCTAAACCTGATATGGCCGAGAAATTTGGTGCTGATGAGGGGATGAAGGTTGAAACTGAGGATCCAATCAATGCCAACATTCAAGTGCTGAATGGTTAGACTGGCCACAGATTTGATAGATAGTGCCATGACTATTGAATCTGCCTCTACCTTGAGATTTGTGTCGAGAGTTTGAAGACCTAGATTGATTAGATCTATTTGATAAGAATTAAATCCCCTTAAATAAGATCAAGGTTCTTTCATTGTTGCATAAGTAATAGTCAAATCTGAAGAGTGCTTCAGGTTACCTTCAATGCGAATGGCTTCCGAGCAAAGCAAAGAAGAGCGATCCTCTATTGAAATACTCTATGATCGTGTTCGAATTGCAGTTTTTACTATATCATGTTCACTCGGTAGGCCATTCAAGGAAATGAGAACAATGTCTTCATCATCAACAAATGATGAAGCCACACACAATTGATCAACAAGATTTTTTATATTGCTCAAATATATCTCCATTGAATCAGATTTCTTTGAAATGGAATTTAGTTTGTCCTTGAGTTGATGGAAATGAGAACGAAATAGAGAAGTGAATCGTTTATCAAGCCATTGCCATACCTGAGAGCTTGTGTGAAAATGAAGAACAAAAGTGAAGATTGCAGGAGAGAGTGTAGCTGTGATGCAACTGAGCAAGTGTGCATTGATCTTTTTCCACTTCAAAACTTTAGGATTTGGAATCTCTATTCCAAAAGAGTTTTGAATCATCTTAACAGGACAACACAGTAAGCCATCAATAATCTTCAGAAGATCAGTTGCGTGAACAAGATTTCGCATTTGACTTTTCCAAACAATGAAATTTGTGTTATCAAGCTTAACTATAACTATTCAAGTGAAGAAGAACATGACTCCATTGAAGAAACCATGAGATTGTTCGTTGGAGCAGAGATGTAACTAACTAAACACCCAACAAGACCAATCGAAAAATGATAACTGCCCCCGCTTGCTCCCAGTCTCTACCTCAGATGAAAGCATGGAATCCAATAAGCATCTCGCTTCTCATAGCCGTGACATCCTAGCCACTCAACTAAAGCCATGATCAATAGATACTCAACTAACGAGATACTCAACTAAAGCCATGTCACACACAAGATCCATTACAACCTTATTCAATATCTATAGATACTCAACTAACGAACCAACTAACCATCTTACCACTACTCTATTGAAACATCTAACATCTAAGCTAACTAATTCAGTTACATTAGAGTTACTTCTCTACTTCAACAATCCATGAGTCTCTATATGTTGTCTTCCTCATCAACAGATAGTATGAATTCCAATGAAAAGTTATAATTATTCACATGGCATGTCATGCGTTGCTATAATGGCGTTAAAATCATTTCAACATCTGATTGGTGAAGACAATCTAAATTTCTATCTATGTGACAAACCTACACCTCTTTACATTCATCTTATATATCCATGTTTATTACGTAAACAATTCTAGAATGATGTCACGTTTTGTTTCCTCATATAAATTTTCTCTGAGCTCCTTCTTTCATATGTTTTTGTTTTTATAACCTTATATTAAAACAATTACCACTGAACAACTCTAGAACCATTTCTAATAACTACTTATTAATTTGGACGTTTTTTTCCTATTAAATTACAGATTATATGCCTTTTTCAATACTTGTCTAGACTTCTTTTTCGTCTTTCTTTTTTGTTCATGTGGTTTCTTTCAATTGATTCATACGACTTCTATAATTATAGCCACTAACAATATTGTGCTTTAAGAGCACAATTTTCACTATTATTTTTCTTATTCAAGTAATTATCTTGATTGTGTGTGAAAAGTTATGGTAGTCTTAATTGTTGAACAAACACAAAGTCAAACCCATAAACATAAGTTATCAAAGTATAGCTAAAAGCGTAACAATATTTGTGAACTCTCTACTCGTGGTCATATATAGTCGAAAATGTGCCAACTTGTTTGTTTGGATATTATAATATCTTTGTCTTGATTTAAGTCTCCAAGCCTATATAATAGATTGATTTAAGTCTCCAAACCTATATAAGTAAAAATGTAGTGTATCTAGAGTTGTTTATAAATTAAACACAATCAAAATCACTGCTAAAGTTTTGGTTATTAATAAATTTCTTGTACGGGCAATAACCCTTTCACGTGAATTAGTTCTTCACTCGCACAGTATGGTGGGCAATTCCAATTGTTTGGCTACCAGTTGTGTGTTGGTTTGTTTCCAAAGCTGTCGAGATGGGCGTTCCTTCTACACAAATAATAGTATCATTGGTTGGTGGCATCTTTTTTTGGACATTGTTGGAATACTGCTTGCACCGATTTCTATTCCACATCAAAACAAATGGCTATTGGTTAGTTCTTTTCCTACCCTATCATATCCTTCCCTTCAAGAGTTGTTAATTTTTAGTTGAATTAATTATGGTTCATATTCTTCAAAAATAGCATGTACGTATTAAATTTTTAGGTTTCTAGACTGACAATATATATGATGCAGGGGAAACACCCTACATTATCTTCTTCATGGTTGCCATCATAAACACCCTATGGATAGACTACGACTTGTTTTCCCTCCTGCTGGAGCTACATGCATAGCGGTGCCTGTATGTTTCATTCTCTTCTCTTTCTCTCTCTCTCTCTCTCTCTCTCTCTCTCATTAAAATTAGATAGCTAAGAGGACAAAGCCGCAAGTTTCACCCTTAATAATTTCTAATTTAAAACCAAGTTAGTTTCAAAACTCAATTTTGGAACATGTTTGATTTAGCCACAAACATGTTGGATTCAACCCAACTCAAGATATAGATCTAAATGTAGATTTTTCATGGAGTGATCAATAATTAGTATATTTATATGGTGTAATATTGTCATTAAACCGCATGTAATATGGCAACAGGACATATGCCTAATCTATATAATTCATAAACATAAGTGAAATATGATTGAAGCAAAATTATATTGTATTGTATTGATAAATTAATTTGGAATTTACTCCAAAGTATATTTCTTTCATTTCTTATTAATTTTGTAATGAATGCAAAAGATTGCTAGAGCTTAAGAGGAGAAAAATATACAAGAAAAAAGGTTGCGTTTGTCTACTTTAGTGTTTTGCTTATAGCTTCCATTGCTTCCATTGTTTCTAATTTTTATTTTTAATTTTTGAGAAAAATATACAAGAAAAGAAGGTTGCATTTGTCTACTCTAGAGTTATGCTTATAGCTTCCATTGCTTCTAATTATTTTTTTTTTTTATTTTTTATTTTTTTGTATGACTCCTAGTTATGGTACCTGATTAAGCTTACAACACCTTCATCCATTGCCCCTACTTTCTTTGGGGGTGTCTTGTTAGGATACATAATGTATGATTGCACTCATTACTACGTGCACCATGGAAAGCCAAATAAAGGAGTATCTTCAAATTTGAAGGTAAAAATCATTTATTAATGAAACAAAATTATATTACTTTTCCAACCAGTAGATGGTTCATTTAATACTGATAGTATGTGTGGTTTATCCTTAAAATTCATTATGGTTGTCTATGACAGAGGTTCCACATGAACCATCACTTTCGAATTCATGACAAGGGCTTTGGAATCACCTCTTCCTTCTGGGATATTGTGTTCGGAACACCTCCTCCAAAATCTAGCAAGGAAAGCATGTAGTATATGATTCAACTGGAGATGTAGAGAATTCATGTATAAGGTATATAATTAAGGTTCTGGAATTTCTGCGATGAAGAAGCCTAGTAAAGCCTAGGCTTGTTTTAGTATGTCTTTTTTCAAGTTGTCTTTTTTTTTCCCCCCTCTCCTCTTCCTCTATTTGTATGATACCTTATTTGGCAATTCCTCATTATCTAATAGGCCGTTAGGGATTTTTGAAGTTTATGCTTTCTTCTTTCATTAAACCAAAAAAAAACAAAAACAAAAACAAAAAAGGGAGATAATTTTTTTTTTTTTTTTTACATTCTTCCTATGAGAGTGAGTGATTATATGCTCTAGGTAATTGCCTTTTTTTTTCCCGAAATAGATGAAACAAAGTCTAGCCATGATGAAGATAGTTTTTATCTTACCATCAATTAAATAAGAAAAATAAATAAAAATAAAAAGAAAGAAAACCTAAGCATTTAGCGTTGTGTGCAATTTGTAAATGTGAGCTCTTAAGCAATATTTTTTTGTTGTTTTCATGCCAACAAGTGAATTTTCCTTCTGGTTGCATTATCCTGAAGAAATTTTTTTGTCCAACATCAATCCCTACAAGTTTATCTTCCCCACTAAGGCACAACACTCAGCCATTACAACCCAACATAACATTTCAAGTTGTTCATTTGGATATCCGATTTGTGCTCTTGTAATGCCCTAATTTCTATAAAACCCGATTAAATAAATCAAACCGTATTCATTATTTATTTCTAAATTGAATTGAATTAACATGTGAAAGCCAATAATCTTATGAAGATTCAACAACAATCATAAACAAAATAATTATCTCTTCCTCTTGTATTTCATTTCATTATAGTTTGAGACTTACAAAAGCAATTACATGTGATTACACATCACAACTTCCAAAGCATGAATCTATAGCATGTGATGCAATACTACATAAATATCCAAATTTAAATGCCCTAAAGGCTTACAAGTTACAAGGGTTGGAACCCTATTACAAAAAGTGTAGTGTCCCGGGTCTTAAACCCGACTTGTTTATATTAATTGGTACCTGCTACTTTGTACTTATATTGTTTTCAAACTTTGGAATTGATAGGTTTGCATTGGACATTTTAGTTATTATAATTGAAACCTCTTTCTTGATGTTTAGACCCTTGATTGATGAATTAACATAATGGTTAGGCAAAATAGTGACCAAAAAAGCCAAATTTGAATTTTTAATTTTTTTTTTAATTTTTTTTTTTTTAGTATTGTTCACTCTTTTGCTCTTATCTCTCTCTACACTTTAAATCTTGATGTGAGGCTAGAAACGTTGGAAAGTTACTTATGGGACTTCGATTTAGACACAAAATTGACCAAAGTATATGTGATGTTCCAGGTTTTAAACACAGTTTGTAATCACTTGTGCGGATGCCAAATACATTTTTGGATCTTGTTTAGACAAGCTACTTTTGCTTAGATTGATTAATTTGACTTTGATGTCATTTAACATGCACCTATTTTGATAAAATTTTATTTTGGGCATAAGGACGAAAACATAAACTTAGAAACACCTTTGCACACAAAATTGCCTAAATTTTGGCCGCACAAGTGGCAAAATTGGCCCGCACGAGCGGACCTTTAGCAATAGGCCACCCCAGTGAGCTTCGTACGTCAAAAATTTGATTTTTTTTCTCTTTTCTTCCTTTTCCCTCTTCTAAGCTTGAGGTAGGGATTTACTTGACGTTGTGTATGTTATCTAGTTTTATTATGTGTTATCTTGGTAGTTTAACAAGTTTGAAGGATTAGGGTTTTGATTATATGTGTATTAGCGCATTAAAACAAAGGGAAACTCTCAAATCTTTATTATTCTTCAAATTGATGCTCTTGTGAGTAAACTCAAATGATGAGTTTGTGAAATTGTGTTTTGAAAGAGAGAACCCCTAATTTTCCAAAACTCTAGAAAGTGAAACTATTGAAATTGGAATGGAATTGATGAAATTATGAAATTATTTGTGGAATTAGAATATTGGGCATGTGTATTCGAAATTATGTAAACTTTGGAAAATCTTAGCGATTTTGGAAAGGTTAAGACATGTTGGATTATACTCTATTGTTGCCTATTTTGAAATTATCGAATTAGAGATAACTGTCTTGGCTATCAGTGGAAGATGCCATTGCCGAGTTGTAGAAATCGCATGTGAACTAGGCAAATCAAAACGTTTATAAATCGTGCATATTGAGCATATCATGGATTGATGAATTTCACTCTTTTGTATTTTGATGAATTCATTGAGAATTTATGCATTGTGAACATTTGAAAATATTGAGAACAATGAAACGTTTTGAGCAAAGAGGGTAAATATACCATGGTGAATCCTATTAGAGGTTGTAGAAAATGAGAATTAAGTTGGCTTTAGGTCCATGGTGAAAGTCTAAAAATTTGAGCAAAGTAGATTCCAATTTCCTTACGGTTAATAACCAATAAAGTGGTTTTGGTAGTGCTCGATGAGACTACTTGTGAACACCTACCTAAGGATTTCCCGAGTCATGTTTACCGCCTCGTATTTTGTTGAAATAAAAGAATGGTTGGCCTATGGTTTTAAAAATGTGCATGGCATGAGGTATTGGAAATAAAACTTCTATTTTTGGCATGGCATATCATTACATACACCTCATGATATTGTTAAACATCATGCACTCCATCAAGTTTATCTCTACTGGGATTTATGCTCATCCATGTGTGGAAGTAGATTTTCAACTATTAACGGCATGCCTCTACTAAGGTGAAGACTTTGGAAGATTTTGGAGTTTAGGGCTCATTTATTGCTTTTATTTTGTATAGCCATTGGGCTTAGGTGTTTTGGAATGTAAGGATCCATATTTTTGATGTAACCGAGCAACGTCTTGGAAATTGTAGCCGTTATGGCATAAACTTGTACTTAGCTTTCATTATCTCAATCACATGCTATAGATTCGTATTATAGGGATGGTAAATGTATTAGTGCACGTGATTTTATTTTGTATATCTCAAAAAGAAACTCATGACTAAGTTTTAGGGATTTTTAGTATGTGTTTATCATTAAATTGTCAATATTGATTAGTGGAAGGAGTGAGAATTCCTTCGAAAAAAAACTTTGTTTTCCCCTTCAAAAAAACTAATTTGGCCATACAAAAAAAGTGCTTGCCAAATGTGTCAAGACCCAAACCCGCCCCTATAGGTTTAGCGTCATGACCGGCCAGTAATCTTAGATTACCTACGGCCTCCATACAAAAGACCTTTTTAAATATAGAGTACGGGGCTTAGCGGAAGTCTAAAACAACATAAGAATTATCCATTGAGCCGTGCATACATAAAAAAAGGGTTTCATATCATGTGTAGAGTTTCACTCCTCATGTACATACACCACATCTTATAGTTATACAAAACTCACAAAACTCCAAAATATACACATACAAAAGCATTTATCAAGCAAAAAGGGGTTCAACTAGCAAGGCTCCAACTAAGCCCAGTTACTTCACTTGAAAGCTCCTAAAAAGGCTGAATAGGGTAGACTCAAGGCTTTCTTAATTCTAATGCTCAGCTTGCCCACATACATATATATATATATATATATAATAAGCTAGGGCCCAGTGAGTAATAACAGAATAAAGAGGTTATATGAATGAAGCTCAATAACATTGCCAAATCAAATTTCATTTCAGTTCTCAATAATTCATTAACTTCATCATCCAGATCTTTTAATATAAATTTATGTGGTACATCCATGAAGTAATAACATTCCAATAATAAAGGATCATAATGGTTTAACACTAGATATCTCTATGTGTCAATCAACCCAAAAGCCATGGTATTGTTTCCCCCAAGCAAGGGCATAGCCATGGTATTGTCTTCCCCAGGCAAGGGCTTAGCCATGGTATTGTCTCCCTAAGGCAAGGGCGTAGCCATGGTATTGTCTCTCCCAGGCAAGGGCCTACATTCAATGGATGCCACAAAACCATTTCAAAACAGAACTTCATTCATTACAAGAAAATGATGTTTCAACAGGCCATTCAATCAATTATCATATATCAATTTTGATAGCAATAACATTTTCAAAAGTAATCATAACTTGAACATGTCTTTATAAAGTCATTACTCACAGTGGGTTATGTTGTCACTAACCCTCGAACGTCCACCTATACAAAATACATAACAAAAGCACAATTGAAGCACCATTTCATTTTAATTCAATTCTCTTATGTGTTTCTAGCTTATTCTATGACTATGCGAGTCCAATTGGTGCCTAAGAACACTTGGAATGTTATCAGGATGCAAAAATGCACTTTGAAGAGTTAGTAAAATTTTGCTGGAAACAGGGTCTCCGCTCGAGCATAACTTTCTTCTCTCGAACGCAGGTTCAAAAATAATGGTGGTCACTCGAGCGCAGATTCTATCGCTCAAACGGTCTGCAAACTTGGCAAAAGTATTGGTTGGATGAAATTATCACTCGATGGTAGCTCGATCAGAAGGCTAAGTAAAAGTGGTCCTCGCTCGAGCACCACTTTGGTCGCTCGAGCGGCCTGTAAAATTTTGCAAGACTTTTGGGAGCTCGATTTTCACGCTCGAGCGGACAATGCGAATCCTGGGATTTCCAGAACTGTGTTTGAACTTCAAAGTTGATATTCAAAGGTTCCAAACTCGTGTTTTAGGCACAAAACGTGGGAAAACTTTATAAAACATGGAAACATAGTGAAATTGGAACCAATTGCTCAAAATCATAGTAATTCTTCAACTGAAAATTCCACCTTCAAGTTATAAAACAAGTTTAACTCAAATTAAGTGTGTATTTCTTCAAAACATAATCAATTGATGTGAGAGGGATGAGTACATGAAGGACTCTTCAAGTTGAGGTGTAAAAGTGCCATGCATGGGAGAATTTCATGAATTCTAACTCATTTTACACATGCATGTACGTAATTAACTCTTATCTTCCAAATTCAAGGTGATTCAAGCTTCTACTTCACAATTTCATGCAATTAAACTTAAAACTTAGATGAATTAAATTCCTACATGTTCCTTCTTCAAAGATTAAGGTTGAAGATCATAACTAGGACTGGATTCAAGTATATACTAGCTTAAATTCCCAAGTCCTCCACAATTTCCTTCAAATTCTCCTTTCTCTCTTTCTCTAAATGTTGAGTTACTCTCTCCCTCTCTCAAAATTTCAGTCAAGAGTGTGTATATATG